GTCCTTTCTTAGAACGTCGCGGTTTACAAGCACATAACCACGACATTAAACGAGAAATGTAAATTCTACAAGGCATGTTACATGTCTCTTGTTGAATATTCGGTACTGACTCTGTGGAAGTAGAACCCAAAGATTCGAAATCTCTTAATGCAAAAGTCCCAAAATAGCACGATTTTGAATCAGTGTTAAGCTCCTTCAATAGTCATAACCTGTTTCTGTCTCAATATTATGTTGCCGCCCATTGTTGTTTTAAAAGAAGTTTCTTTATCAAAATACCCGATGCATTCTTTGTCTCCCCATGTTACGTACACTTCCAGCCCATAGGAATTACATATTTCACTTCCGCAACAATACTAAGGCACCGATAGAATCACAAGGCCCTTTGTTATGTTCTAAATGTCACAGATCAGTCACTTTGCCCATATCAGATCTAAATGCTGTAACGTGTACAGCTAAGCAACGGCGCGATAAACAGCTCACACAAGCGCGCTCAACAATAGGACGGATGGTTATAGCTCGTTACTAGGCAGCAGTCAGCGCGCCAATGGGCTGGCGAGGTGGCTATCAAGTGACCGGTTTGTATGGAGTCCGTGCCGCGACCGTTGCTATGCAATGGTACGATGAAAGCGTTACAAAAATAGATGCTGTGTTTTCTGTGTGGTCCATGCCGAACACTTATAAGAAAAGTGAATTCAAGTCAAAGTAACATTGCGACTGACGGTCAGTCAGTAAGTCTTGGTGTCGAGCCCCAGATTTTATTACTGTTTGACAGTTACAGTCTTATTTTTGTGGGGCACCCTCTCTGACGAGAGGACGGGTCTGACTTTTGTATATGCTGCTGACCCTTGCCAGCGCAGTCTATTCGGGGTTCTAGTCCCTTGGGACTTGTGACCATATTCTACTGTCTCAGATTTGAGACTTCACTTTTCGTCGCCTCCTACGACTTGCAGGGACACGGTGAAGGATTCGACCCCGCCTGCACACGGGTCTGGCGGAGCGAATTGAAACCAGAAATACAGGAGAGTACAGGAGGTCGGCAGGTGAAAATTTCACATGTGATTTGAAGGGTTTATGAGTGCTATAGTGCATTGATATTGGGAGTGTGCGTTCCAGTGGGATGTTATAATTCCTTTGTTTTAATTGCATTACCAGGATATGACTATTATGTGTGTAACAGTGAATTATGAAGTACATAATTCAGCGATAGCGCTGTAGTAAGTGTGATCAAGAGAGGGGTTGTAACCAAGGTGCTAATAAATCCAATCATTCGAATTAGAACCCGTCATTTTCGTCGCGCGTACCACCCTACACGTGGCAGTACTTTCCTGGGCACTCTGTTTTCGAATGCTGCATTATATTCCTTAAAAATAAAGAGATCGCCATACAAAAGAAGTAGCATCTTTAAGATTAAGGTCTTCCAGGGTGTGTCACCGTTGAAATTTGGTTCGTAAGTAGGCCTTCTGTCTATACGGCATGCCATCCCTCATCCTCCTTGTAACGCCGTGGAGCAGGGGGACGTGGATGTACCCCTCCTTGCCACCACAGCTTACGCTGTAAGGAGTTAACACCATAATGCTAGCTTACCCTCAGCTAGGATTCTCCTGTTTCTGGGCTTCCTTCCTAACTTAAAGCTGCCACCATCTATTATTTCGTACGAAGGTTGGTGAAAATACTAAGAGAGGTGATGAAAGTACTAAGGGCCAGTAGCGCGGTAGTCGAGCGTCCTCTGTGGGCTGGCCCTTTCATCACTGTCACCTCTTATTATTGGCGTAGAGCGGGCGTGTCAGGTCTGACCCGCCTCTACCTATCGTCTGTCATCTCTATGGTGGGAACTACCCCCTGACATATTGTCATAGCTCCCTCTTGACAACTCTTCATATAGTCTGCAGGTTGCAACGTATTACATTATTATTCTTAAGGGGCGTTGATACCAAGGCTACTAAACGCTGCCTGCGTGGCAGATTCCTATCCCTGTCCATTCCTAGTACCTCCCCTTAAGCATTCCGCTGCTGCTGCCTTTCGTTTTGGTAGGATCCTCGGGATCGGGCGTGGAAAGGTGATTATGGAGGTGTGAATCACAATCCCGGTACATCCTACTCTAACTACCCTGTCTATTTACACTCTTATTTACATTATTTACAATATTAACAAGACCGACCCACAGTCGGGTCTACATAGTGACTTTACCTCCTGCTACTCTTCCTCATGTTCTCCCCTAAAATAATCTGCCCGTAAAGTTATACATATTAAAAGCCCACATACTATATTTATCACTACACACTACCAGTAATCTTGACACATACCTATAACACAGACATATTGCCGGACTATCTTCCTAGGCAATTACATGTTACATAATTACTACTCTCCCCTAAGGGCTCGCCGAGCACACTGGAGTTTGCTTCAATATTTTCCACACACTTTTATCGACAGTACTATTGAACAACATGGCTTATATGAGTAAACGTGACTTCTCTGAAATAAAAGACGTAGGCCCACTTCCTCCACTCGTAAGGCCCATATTGACTAGAGTCTCCGGCTGACAACTGAATATTATGTTTGAGATCAGATCACGAGTCTCCTAAATTCAGTAGTTTATATCTTTAACTTGCTGAATCGGCTGTTAACGAAAGAGGGAGGTTAACTCCTCTTTTTGTTCTCAGTTCCCAAAGTTATATTCTAATTGGCTATTCTCGGTGGTTGTGGGTGGGCCCATGGTGTCTCATCGCTGCGTATTTAATAATATTACCATCTTCAATGGCCCCGTTAGCAGAGCTTCTTACTTATGTGATTACGCATAAATGCTGATCATCTACATTCTTAACCTAGTTGCCTGTCCAGGTGTTGACATACTAATGTAATGGCTGTAAAACACTTTTCGCAAGTCTCGAAACATTTAAGCAATGTCTTTTGATTTTCAGTCTCGAATTTGGATCCACAACACTCCTGTTAACCACCCTGAGAACCTGACATCTCGCGGTTAGCATTTTTTGTATGCATAGCTTAACCTTTAGTGATTTGGAAAATGAACATGATAACAGTTCTTTAAGTGAATAACAGTTGAAGAGTTTTGTCTACTGGGATATAGCGCCTTGTATTTCGTTGAAAGTCAAAGTTTTGCTTTCTTCACTTTTCAGCCCTGAAGATGGAGCAACATGTTACTCCGAAACTTCGGTTGACTTTCAGCGGACTGCACGGTGTTATACCCCAGAAGATAAATCACTTCAAGATGTATAAAATCTGTTGGGATTTCTGTATAGTACCTCGGAGGCTCCCAACTGGTAGCCGAAGTTTCATGACCCACGGTAATCTCGTGTTGTTCTTTCTGGAGGGAAAAAGTGGACGTGTCAGGTTTGCTTAACTTTCTCAAACCAACTAAATCAACAAAGGAAATAAAGTAAGAAAAAGGAAGGTCTCGGATTAGTGCCACACAGCGGTTGCCGTCGGACTGTTTCTTGACCTCTTGCATTGCCAGCATCGCTGTTTATTTTCCCCAAATTGACCACTATCTCCATCTGGTTCCGAGGCTAAGAACGCATGGAGCTATGCCTCAATTCCCCCGTAAATCGTCATGGAAGCTCTACCTTTTATCTTCATTTTGGCGATTTCGGTATATTGAGTCTTATATTTCTTTTCGGTCCCACTTCCAGACTGGTTCCAGGATACGTCCAGTCTCCTGTCGTGTGGGTATCTCGTACTCTTTACTGGGGGATGAAGCGGCCGAAGCCTAAAACTAAGGACACACTTCCGCTTAATGCCCAGGTTAAAGTTTGCCCAGCGTTAGGGTCATTCCATGTAGCTTTTCCTTCCTATGTCAGTTAATTTCAGAGTTATTTCAGTTTGAAGTTTTAAGTTTTCATTAACTTTTCCCGCACTCTGATTCATTAAAATGCTTATAACTCAGATTCCAGTGAAGATGGAGACCTCATTTTTGTACCTGTTATAAGCTGTTATACGTGGATATCATTTGGTATGCCAATTTTACTGTTTAAGGGCACATTAACATTTTAGTTTGACATATAGTCTTTGGGAAACTGTATTTGTTTCCGTCTTCAGATGAAGGGGCGGGAGACACCTAATTCGTTAGGTCTGTTAACTAACTAATTAACTAACTTCATAGAGCTGAGTTCTTCAGAAGCCGCCAATTGTGCAGCTAATCAAGAGCTTTCCAGCATTTTATGGAAACCGAAGGTTCATTACCGTGTTCACAAGAGCCATCCACTGGTCCCTATCCTGAGCCAGATTAATCCAATCCATACCATCCAATCTCTCTAAGATCCATTTTAATATTATCTACCTACCTATGTCTTGGTCTTCCTAGTGTTCTCTTTCCCTCTGGATTTCCCACCAACATCGTACATGCATTCCTTTTCTCCCCCCATTCGTGCTACATGCCCTGCCCATCCCATCCTCCTTGAATTGATCATTCTAATTATACTTGGAGAAGAGTACAAGTTGTGACGCTCCTTATTTTGCAGTTTTCTCCAACCTCCTGTCACTTCATCTCTCTTTGGTACAGATATTGTTGCGGGGTTCGCAACCCTTTTTAAATTTTTTAATTTTAGGAACTTGAGTCTGATGTCTGGGGTCATGCCCTCTACTAAATTAACAGCACGTCAAGAGGTTGACCTGCTTCCTCAGAGAAAAAATGTTATATCTACCCCTGCCATTCCATAAATTAGTGGGGTCCTGGAATGTTTCGTCTGGGACCTATCCTTCAACACCAGCTGGTGTAATGTGATCTGCGTGAGGGTTCATGTCTCGAGATATTGGTCTGCAAGTTTAGTTTTAGATAGGTTTTAAGAAGAAGAGGGAAGTTGGAGGGTGCATTTTGTCTGGGTTGGGGCTATGGGAAGGCTGGCCAGGCTTACGTCCACCAGCGCTTGTATGTAATATACACTAAGAATCAATAAATCCTCTATTATCTGTAGTGAGTATTTGCTCTTTGTGGTTGGAATACCCGCTCCAGCAGCCAACTGACCATCACCATCACTGAATTATTACGCTACCGCTCGGCCAACATAATTCAGTCGACCCGCCACCATCTTGGGTCACGACAGAGGAGAGAAAAATCTGGTGTCAGGTGTGGGGTTGCAAATCTGTGAAATGAAAGAATTCTGCGTGTAGTTGCAAATTTGTGAAGTGTAAGAATTCTATGTGTAGTCGCAAATCTGTGAAGTGTAAGAATTCTACGTGTAGTTGCAAATCGGTGAAGTGAAAGAATTCTGCAGATTTTAACCAATACAGATAGAGGAAAAACCCTTTGAGCACGACCAGCAAGATGACCGGTAGCGACCAAGCGCGCTATCGACATTAGCAGAGTGGAGGACTGGCAACTGGTGTACGTGATTAAGAGAGTGGGCCATTCCCGAAGGAAGTCATCACCAGGACGATTTCCGACGCGAGGACGCCGGTTTACGACGCTTCCAAGAAGGCGTCTATCCGACGAAGGTGGTTTCCCATTGCTGTGCGGTACCAGGGCGATTCCAAGAACGGGACGTCATTCCAGGACGCGGGCAAATAGGTGCCTGTCCGGTGGAGGTACTGAGCTGTTGTAGACGTGACGCCGTTAGACTGGCCAATAGTCGGCATCCGAGTCTGCGTTGCCAGAGGGTGTGTCCAGCTTCGCTTGAGAGGCAAGCGAGGCGTGAAGACAACCATTGGAGGCGGGAGCAATCTAGTGCACAAGGTAAGTCACTCTTGCTCACCTGTTCCTCCTGTCCACGTCTGTATATCTGAAAAAAAAAATGGCTGACGAATATATAAGTGTCAGTGATGCTTTCAAATTGGTAGCTGAACCGTTTAGCGGCGACAAACGCAAATTGAAAGAGTTTTGCGAAAACGTCGATGCAGCTTTTGGGCTAATTAACCCAGATAAATATGATTTATTTTACAAGTATGTACGCACGCGTATAACAGGCGAGGCGAAGGCAAAATTACTTGTTCGGCAAGATGCCGATGATTGGGCTAGTGTTAAGGCCATTTTGAAGGAGCATTATGCTACTAGGAGAACATTAGATTTTTACGCTTGCGCCATGTTCAATGCCCGACAAGCCAAGCATGAAACAGTAGCTGCATGGTGCAGTAGGCTTGACCAATTGAGTTCAGATTTCAGAGACGCGGCTATAGAAGGCGCGACTTCATCTGAAATGTGCGGTATCACAAAGTTGGTATCCCAGTTAGGTAAGGCATGTTTCATACAGGGGCTAGCGAATGAACGAATACAGACCGTAGTTCGTGCTAGGAACCCTACACATATTACAGAAGCCGCTGAGATAGGTACTGAGGAAGAAAGCGCATTACTTTCTGCTAAAGAAAAGGTACATAGCGTATCTCAGTACAATGACCGAAGTAAGGATGTGCGTTGCAATAACTGCCGACGTTTCGGTCATAGGGAATCACAATGCTTCCTGACTGGCAGATCGAAAGAGGTGAAAGTGGCAGCTCCTGCAGAGAAAGTTTGTAATTTTTGTAATATGCCAGGTCATGTCGCATATACATGTTGGAAAAAGAAAAAGCGACATGGAAACTTTTCTGGAAATGAAAACCGCAGAGCTAGAGAACGCGCAGATGGGAAGTTTGCGATAGTAGCGGGAAACAAACGGAATGTGTTTGCCAAGACAAACAGTTGCCGTGAGTTTCCAGACGCCGATAATCTAACTGACTTAGGTTCAGATATGTATGTTAATTTAGCCAAACCACGACCACGGTCGGCCGTTGGTTGTGATCCGCCTTGTCGAAGGTCGACTGAAGGCCGGGAAGAGGAGCTCGTCCTCGGGGCTATGAGTGGCAGCTATGCCGATCAGAATGTCAGTAGATTAGACGAAAAGAAACGGAAATTTGTAGAAGTTAGTAATTCCGCCAGCACTGAGAGTGCCTGTGGTAAAACCAGTGCATCGAATGGAGTTTTCAACTCCGAAGGTGAGGATTTACAGGTCAAAACGACCTCACGTGAAATGCGCGTGAACAGCGATAGCGAACGGGTTTGCGCCACAGGGTGTGAAACTGAGGAAAACCATGATGGTAGTATTCTCATTACCGTGGCTGGCATAGATCAACCATTGAGGATGTTAGTCGACACGGGGGCACAAATATCCGTGATAAAGCGAGGGTTGATACCAGATGATGTTCCCATTCATACAGATAAGCAATATGAAATTGCCGGAATAACAGTAGGTTCGATTAACACACTTGGGAGCGTGAACTTAACCCTCCATGATCGCACGTATAAATTCCAGGTAGCGCCTGAGGAAATACAGTTGACAGAAGATGGCTTAATAGGCCGAGATATCCTGAAGGATTCGGTAATCAACAACAGGGAAGGATATGTGGATATTAACGGGCACCGTTATAACTTTTGTCGGAGAAACGACGAGCCTATCATTTTGAAACCGCGAACGGAGACAATCGCAGCGGTTACAGTTGACTTGGATACCGGACTAGGAATTGTGGATAAACAAGAAATTTATCCAGGTGTGTATGTAGCCAGTTCCCTGTCGCAAGTCAACAGAAATAAGGCTATAGTGAGCATTCTGAATTCCACAGAGGAAGCCATGGAGATAAGGGATTTGACGCTCACTGCCACGAAGTGGAGTGAACAAATCAGTGTGCGAAAAATCAATTCCCAAATTCATGATAATAACGAAAGTGTGTTATCTCGCAAGAAACGGGTCAGAGAACTAATTAGGACAGACCACATGGCAGAGAGTAACAAGAAATCTATTCTGGAAATCTGCGAGGATTTCCATGATATCTTTTACTTGGAAGGGGATAAACTGTCGCACACTGACCTAATTAAACATTCAATTCCCACTCCAGCCTTGGATGAAAACAGAGCGATAAACGTTCGACCTTACCGATTACCGGAAGCTCACAAGGAGGAAGTAAATAGGCAGATTAACAAGTTATTGGATGACGGAATTATAGCGCCCTCCAGAAGCGCTTTCAATAGCCCATTGTTGTTAGTGCCGAAAAAGGCAGATGCCTCAGGAAAGGTAAAATGGCGCGTAGTGATTGATTTCAGGAAACTGAATGAATGGACAGTCGGAGATGCTTACCCGCTGCCGAACATCACTGATATTTTGGATCAGCTGGGTAAAGCAAAATATTTCTCTACAGTTGACCTTGCCTCGGGGTATTATCAGGTTGAACTAGCAGAGAAGGACCGCGCGAAAACTGCTTTCAGTACACCAGCGGGTCATTTTGAATTTGTTCGTCTCCCCATGGGCCTGAAATCCGCGCCGTCTACATTTCAATCTCTTATGAATTCCGTACTCGCCGGAATGAACGGGTTAAGGTGTTTTTGCTATATGGATGATGTTATTATTACAGCAGATTCGCTGGAATCTCACAATGAGAGATTGAGGGAACTATTTCAGAGATTCCGCGAAAGCAAATTGAAGATTGAGCCATTCAAGTGTGAGTTCTTGAGGGCCGAGGTTCAATTCCTTGGTCACGTCGCCACTGACGAGGGGCTAAGGCCGGATCCTAGAAAGACGGAGGCAGTGCGAAACTTCCCCGAACCCAAGACAGTTAAAGAACTGAAGGGATTTTTAGGGCTCTCCTCGTATTACAGACGTTTCATTCACAACTACAGTAGGGTGGCAAAACCTCTGTATGAGTTATTGAAGAAGGACGCGGTATACGACTGGAAGGAACCACAGCAGAACGCCTTCCAGACTCTGAAAGAGCTGTTGGTTACGGCTCCTATCTTACAATATCCGGATTTTTCGCGACCGTTTATTATTACCGCCGATGCTTCAGGCGACGCCGCCGGTTGTGTACTGAGCCAGGGAGAAATAGGAAAAGACCTCCCGATAGCATATGCTAGCAGGACGTTTAATAAGTCCGAAAGAAATTATAGCACAACAGACCGAGAAATGGCCGCCATTATTTGGGCTGTAAAACAGTTTCGCCCATATGTATTAGGTAGACATTTCAACATTGTAACTGACCACAAGCCACTTAAATGGGTGTTCCATGTCAAGGATCCTAGTTCACGTTTATTAAGATGGCGAATTAAACTTGAAGAGTATGACTTCACGATACATTACCGGTCAGGTAAAACAATATCGCATGCCGATTTCTTGTCTCGCATACACAAAGCAGATGCTAGTGAGGGCGGTGACAAGGAAGCAGAATCGAGGGGTCAAAAGTTGGCAGGGTCCGCTACAAACGAAAAAAATGAGACAGTCGGTTCCGAATATTCTGGGAACTTTAGCGAACCCTCGGATTCCGAGAAAGAAAGTATTATAAGAGAATACCATGAATCTCTTATAGGTGGGCACACGGGAATCTCAAGAACATATGAACGGCTGAAACCCTACGTAAGTTGGCCAAATATGCGAAGGGACATAGAAAATTATGTAAGGAAATGTGCATCGTGCCAGAGGAATAAGCACACAGTTCCCTACACGAAGATGGCAATGGAGGTTACTGACACTCCGTATGCCCCTTTTGAAAAGATTAGCTTGGACTGCATGGGTCCCCTGCCTTTAACGGAACAAGGGAACAAGTACATTCTCACATGCCAGGACCAGCTATCCAAGTACCTGGTAGCCATTGCGCTTCCAAATCAAGAAGCCGTAACGATAGCGAGAGCGCTAGTCGACAATGTAATCACTGTGTTCGGATCGCCGGGTTCGATTCTCACAGACTGCGCCTCGAATTTCACCGGAGAAGTAATGCGGCACTTATGCAAACTTTTAAGAATTTCGAGAGTTAATACAACTCCATTTAGGCCTCAGAGCAATGGCAGTGTCGAAAGATCGCACGCAGTAATTACAGAATATCTGCGTCATTTTATATGCCACGAGCAGAATGATTGGGATACACTGTTGCCAACGGCAGCATTCGTTTATAATACGACTCCCCATACGAGCACTAAATACTGTCCATTCGAGTTGGTTTTCGGAGGAAAGCCTTCGATGCCAGGACTGCTACAACGCCGTCCCAGTTGCTCTAGCTACGACGAGAGAGAAGACTTCGTGAGCAGCTTAAAGGAGAGGCTACAGTACAGCCATGAGGTAGCGCGGAAGGCGCTACTAAACTCGAAGGAAGTGTCTAAAAGATATTATGACCAGAAGGAAAATACGGTTACGTTCCGCGAAGGTGATCTTGTACTTCTGCTACAGCAACATGTCAGACGAGGTCGCTCTAAGAAACTTTCTTCCCCGTGGATAGGACCGTACACCGTGGTCGAAGTCACAGGTGTAAATTGCGTATTACGTTCAGGTACAAAAAGACGAACCTTCAAAGTGCACAGCAACAGACTGAAGCTTTTCATTTAATTTCAGCTTGACATGCGACTCGAGACGCTGTTGATTTTGAGCGCGACGTGCGTCGCCGTCGTCGCAGTAGACTTCACAGTCAAGAACTATGAGGACACGCCCGGACTGTACTATGATCACATAGGTCAGGTGCAACTATACACTTCAGAATGGAAGCTTGTAACGTATGTAAACATATCGAAATTGGAGACGACTTACAATACGCTTGTAGATTTTGTCGCTCAGACTGGAGCAATGTGTAAAGAGTTGCCACCTGAAGCCATTTCTACCTGTCAGTCGGACCTGTCCCTGATGAATCAGAGCGTACTGAGAATTCATAGAACGCGGCGCATAATTTCCGAAATTACTAAGAATAAAGAGGAGGAGGTATTTCATTCCGATAATACGCATACACATGCTAAAAGAATTAAAAGAGGTGTTTTTAATTTTATTGGAACAGTTTCCAAAATTTTATTTGGTACTTTGTCAAGTGAAGACGCTGATTATTACCAAAACAAAATAAGCGAATTAGAGTCCGAGCAACTTTCAATGCTAAAGGTAGCCAAGGAACAAATGACTGTTGTGCGTTCCACATTGCAGACGGTAAATTACACATTAGTCGATATTGCAGCCAATGAACTGCAAATTAACGAGAACTCTAGAACAATGCAGAAACAAGTAAATGAAAACGTGGAGAAGACAAACCAAGCGTTTTCGCAAACCACTCTTTTGATTGCAACTAATCAACACATGATAATCATTGAACATTTAATTGGTCAGCTGAAGGAAGGGTATGACACGTTGTTATTTGCAATTATTTTTGCACAGAAAGGAATATTATCACCTCAAATAATCACCCCTGGAGATATTATAAGAGCCTTTCAGGATTCCCATTCGATCCTTCCACGTGACCTTTCCCTTCCTAACACCGCAAGAGTGGCTTACGAACATGTATTGATGAACATAATTGATATTGATGTGTTTCTAAATAACAATCTTTTGGGTTACGTCCTGAAGATACCCTTAGTGAACAGTGCTGTGTTCCATTTGTACAAACTGATTCCATTTCCCACGAAAGTTAATAACAGTGAAAATATCTTCGTTTTCATTGAAAGTGAAAAGGACTTTCTCATGATAGATACATTGAAACAAGTGTATGTTAAACTGAATGAATTAGAATTAGATGAGTGTAAGGTTATTTCGCCAGACTGGCGTGTATGTAAACAGACATTCCCTGTAAAATCCACACATGTTCACCAGGAATGCGAGGTCAGGTTGTTAGAGCCCACTACAAGAATTCCGTTAGACTGCAAAAGGAAAATCATTTCTCTTGATGATGTAACCTGGTTACCCCTTACTCATAATAAGTGGATATTTGCCACGTCACACAAGGAAAGGGTGACAATTCTGTGTAACGATTTAGAACCCAGTGACATAATTCTACAAGGTACAGGTGTATTGTCAATGTTTGGCAGATGCGATGCCTTAGGGCTAAACACAAAATTACAGACCCAAATGAGTTTCACGAGTAACAGAACCGATAAGGATTTTATTCCCAGTGTAACACTGCATTATGATTGCTGTGAGCATTTAGGATCCAGAGTAAAGCTCGATACAATGAAATTCATACCTGACGTACCATTGAAAAATATTTTAGGTCATTCAAATGCGTTTAAATACGCTAGTCACTCTGTTGACCAGGTAGAACAATTAATAATTCAAAATGAAGCTGAACTGAACAGAGACCATAAAATTGATCATTTGAAATTCCTTTCCTACCTGGGAATAACAACTATGGTAGTCATGATGTTATTAATCTGTTGTTGTTTCTGTAAAAAGTGTAACTTGTTGAAAAGGCTTTTGGACGATGACTGTTGTGGCAGAATCTGTATACGCCAAACGGTCATAAATCAAAGAGAACTCAAATCATCAGATGAAAATATAACAGATAGATTTCTTGACCAGGAGACTCGCAGCCAGAGCCTGCGATCGCTCCCAGCTGCAACAAGCCTTGAGATGACAGAATTGGATCCAGTACCAACGGTAAGCACCCACTCAGGGGTGCGTAAGACTTATAAACGTAGATGGTAGATTTATGTTTCTGTAATCTGTAGTATATATAGCCTATATTTGTGTTGGGAAACATTAGCACCTGTTTTTGCAAATGTTTCCATCTTAAGGGGGGAGGTGTTGCGGGGTTCGCAACCCTTTTTAAATTTTTTAATTTTAGGAACTTGAGTCTGATGTCTGGGGTCATGCCCTCTACTAAATTAACAGCACGTCAAGAGGTTGACCTGCTTCCTCAGAGAAAAAATGTTATATCTACCCCTGCCATTCCATAAATTAGTGGGGTCCTGGAATGTTTCGTCTGGGACCTATCCTTCAACACCAGCTGGTGTAATGTGATCTGCGTGAGGGTTCATGTCTCGAGATATTGGTCTGCAAGTTTAGTTTTAGATAGGTTTTAAGAAGAAGAGGAAAGTTGGAGGGTGCATTTTGTCTGGGTTGGGGCTATGGGAAGGCTGGCCAGGCTTACGTCCACCAGCGCTTGTATGTAATATACACTAAGAATCAATAAATCCTCTATTATCTGTAGTGAGTATTTGCTCTTTGTGGTTGGAATACCCGCTCCAGCAGCCAACTGACCATCGCCAACACTGAATTATTACGCTACCGCTCGGCCAACATAATTCAGTCGACCCGCCACCATCTTGGGTCACGACAATATTCTCCTCAGCACCGTGTTCTAAAACACCCTCAGTCAATGTTCGTCCCTTAAGGTCAGAGACCAAGTTTCACACCCATACAGAACCACATGCAAAATTATGATTTTGTATATTCTAATTTTTATGTTTTTGAACAGCAGACGAAAAGACAAAATGTTCTGGACTGAATGGTAACAAGCATTACCCGAGTTCAGTCTCCTCTTTAATTTCTTCTTGAATCAGGTTTTGGTTTGTTATCGTCGTTCCCAAATATCTGGAATGGTCACAACATAACTTACATTGCCTAAGCAGGCCACCAATAGATAGAAGATCATACCTTCTTAACACCCGAACGTGATGCTTAGCAAAGACAGATTGAAATGATCATGAAGGCCAAGGTACCTCACATTAGTTTAGAAAAAAGGTATAGCTAGATCTATACAACACTTAATGTGCCTGAAAATGATGTGAACCTTAGTACAAATCAAAGCCCCACTTAAGAGCTTTCAGATAGTCCGAGGCTGAGCTCTGTATCATCAGCAGTACCAGAGTTACTAGCATATAAGTTGAAGAGAACAGAGAAATTTATGGGAGACTTAAAGTTTCAAAATTCCATTTCTCTACAGTTAATGGACACAGGAAGGTATAATTTCATATTTCACTTCCTAAGGAAACCAAGAAGTTTCCAAATTTCATTAGGATTAGAGAGTGTCATGACAAATTCTGCAGTAAATTGACTTGACTTGGAATGACCCCTTACCTCCGTACCCCTATATCAATACGTACTCGCGAGCCAGACTTGTAAGCGTATGGGCCCTTTTAGATAGATCTTTTACGTTGAATCACATTTGCGTTGCAGAGACTGGGCAATAATAACAATCATTAGTGTTATGTATAGAGAGTTTCGGTTCCAGGAACCAGACGATGTAAAGAGAATTGTAATGCTGCGGCGCAGATGAAGCACCACTCAGAAATGGGTGCACAGTTTTAATGTCCTTTAGTAGGAGTTGGCGCATGCGTCAGCTGTATCTAGCCCCGGCGAATCCTCCGCCTCATGTGCGAGAGTGAAGACTGTCGTCCTCTTAGTTTCGGTGTGTCTCTGTGGTTATATCGGCGTCAGTGAAAGCATTGCGTGGTTGCATAGTGCGGTATTACACGGTCATACACCTGTTCTTGTTATTGTACAGGTATAGTTTTATTATGTTGAAAATGTATTCGTTTCGAATCACTAACAGATACGTTTATTATATTTAATATAAAGGGCACGTCTTAATACGAGTACATTGAGAATAAAAATTGTTTTTAATTTTAAGCGTATAGTTCGCTTGTGGTCTAGTCTTTGCGGTGATTGTACTGGAAGGGAACAAACCGACATTTGAAATTATGAATCAGACCAATTTCTATGTAATGGAATTATTGTGACAAAAACGTATGATTCATTACTCAGAAATTTAGTTTATTATTGTGTTTTCTCGTGTCAGATTGTGCTTAAAATGCTAGACGGTTATACAAATTGAAGAACGCCGTCTTCAGGGATGTGGTTTGAGGTTTCACGTCAGTCTGCAGCCACCTGCTCACGCTGGTTCGTCGCTCGCGGATTTTTTTTTACCCTGAAGATGGAGGCGCGTTCCTCTGAGACATCGGTTCACGATCTAAAAGGCGCCACATCTCAGAAAACTTCATTCTTCATAGTCACCGCCGTGAAAACCTCAAATTTTACACTTTTATACAGTTTGTTAGCTTATTAGAAACATCTGTTTTCATTTTAAGAATTATACATATAAAGTACAGTTTTTCAATTTTAAGGCTATTTGTGAATAGCCAAGTGACAAATTAGTGTGCGAGAAATAATGTAAACAATACGAGTGTTTTTTTTTTTTGCTTAAGGCAGGACATTTTGTATTGTCACTTTGATTTATTGTAGTCCTACATTGTGCACAGCCTTACCTTTTCTTGTCCAGTTTTAGGGTAGAATTATAACCTGCCGATGGAGACAGTTCCACGTAAATGTCTGTACCCACTTAACAGCACACTTCATGCCACAGACGGTCGCAGTATGAATGTTAACCGCTGTGAAAACCTAAAATATGTTTTTTATTATTCCACTTTATGCTGAAGTAATTTACCTCTGCATTTAATTAAACAGCTCGCCTGGAAGACGTATAAAGGAGTGGAGGTATACATCCACGTATTTTTGACATCGGCACTAGATGAAAGGGAGTGATCAGCTTTACGCTTCTACCGCTTTACCGCCGAGGAAAAGCTCTCAATATCCATTGGATAGGAGAGTGAATGGGCTTCATAGCCGGTATGGATGCTGTTGAGAACAGAAAGATCTCTTGGCTCTGCCGGAAATCTAACCCTGATTCCTTGGTCCTCAAACACGTATCCCGTCACTATACTGGGACGGTGAAAACCTGTTGACTTAAGTGTACGTCACAAGGCCGAAGGATAACACACTGGCTTCAAACATCTTTTTTTTTTCCCTTGGCACTACAGCCCCAGTGGGCCTAGGACTACCTCCATGAACTTCTCCGTTCACTTCGGTTTTTCTAGATCTTACACGTTCGGTAGGACTCCTTGGGCGGGTGATCAGCTCGTCGCAAGGCCTCTACCTGTACACAAACAAGAAAAACGCACACAAACATCCATGTCCTGAGTGGGATTCGAACCCACGATCCCGGCTTCCGAGCGAGCAAAGACAGTGCATGCCTTAGACCGCTCGGCTACCGTGACGGGCTCAAACATCTTTAAGGTTACGAAATTCAACCACTCAAGCCCCTGCAGAACACTATTTGGAGTACACACTGAATACTGGTGTTGGAAAAGTTGCCTAGAGGGCAAGGCGAAATGTGAGAGGACCAGGATTCCACCGGCATCGATATAACATCATTTTATGAGTTATATCTCAGGAGATAGAATTCTCCATAACTACCGCCCTTAGAACCTCAAATCCTACACTACTATCAGGTGTAGGGTGGTACGCGTGACGAAAATAACTGGTTCTAGTTAGGATGAATGCATTAATTAGCACCATAGTTACAAGTTATTTTAATCACACTTAAATACAGCGCTGTCGCTGATTTGCACACTTTCCAATCACCGTTGCACACGCATTAGGATTCCCAGTCTTCACTAGTCATCTCCCGGCAACGGATCTCAACCCAGAAATAGCACTTCAAATCACTATGAAGTCTTGCTATTACGTCTTCAATCACTCTGGAACCTCGGAACTAAAAATTCTTCTAGACTCACTCCTCCAGCTTATAACTGACTCGTAATTGCCCGTGAAATCACTCTGTCAAAGTCAGAGTTATGTTACAACCGACGGTCAGGCGGCCAGTCTCTTTTGGAATAGAGCACCCATTTGGGGCTTAAGACCAAATTCCTGCATTCACTTCTCTTATAAGCACTCTGCACAGACCTCACGGAAGACACCGTCTATATTGTTACTGACGTCACTGGTTACGCGGAAGTGTGTTTACCTAGCCGTTGCTTAGAAACGGGTTGCATAACCCCGTTGTTCCACCGCTGCTCGGCGCAGACGACATAGAAAACAGCCTAATATAATGTTATATGTTGGACTACATGAGGACGGATCAATTTTCATACTGAGGAGCTTCATAATTTGTATTATTATTGTTATTATTATTTTGTATTTTTTGTGTGTTTTCTTTACTCGTGCTCACTTTGTAATTGGCATTTGGGCTCTTAAGTTAGCACGTAAATGAAAGAGACTTGAGTATAGATAAATTATTGGGGTGGTCAGTTCGAGGAGAATGAAATAAGCTGGGTGTATACATCAGAGGCATGAGAAATGCATATTTTAGGCGGTAAATCTGAAGGGACGATTTGAAGTTCCCACGGCGGTGTTTATGAAGAGTTCTGCCTATAGGATGTAACGCCATGTAGACTGGACTACACACCGCTGTATCCCACAATATAGAACTCTTCGGAAGGGAAGAGGCGTCGTTGAAGACAGAGGTAGAACAGTATTCAGATGGACGTTAAAGAAATGTGGCGTGAGAATGCGGACTATGGAACTCAGAAGAGTCTAGTGGTTAGTTCGTATGAGCACAGCAATGAATCTTGACATGTCGTGAAAGGTGGGGGACTTCGGTACTTGCTGAGCATCTTTCGTATGCTGAGGCAGGACTCTGCTCGCTGAAGAAACCACGAAGATCCTGTGAGGAAGTTTAAGTCTCCGGCGTGGATTAGGAACTTGCTCTCACTGTCAACTGCAGAAGCTGTGCAGTGTCGTAGAAGTTGGGAATGTGATAATAAATAGGGAATTGGTAAAGGTTTGGAAGCCGGTTACGGTAGCCGAGCGGTCTAAGGCATGCACTGTCTTCGTATGCTCGGAAGCCGGGATCTGGGTTCGCATTCCACTAATGGTATGGATGTTTAGTGTTTTTCTGTGTTTCTGTACATGTACAAGCCTTGCGACGAGCTGATTACCCGCCCAAGTAGTCGTACCGAATGTCTAAGATCTAGTAAACCGAAGTGAAACGGAGAGTTTCATGGAAGTGTGCCAAGACCCAAATTGGGGCTGTAGCGCCAAAGGAAAAAAATGTGTGGAAAAAGAGAATCGTGACCTGTGTGGAGGGATTATTGGGGTATTCTAGAAGCGAAAATGGGGAAGACGACAAAAACAGAATATTCTGTAGCAGGACTGAAACTCAAATTGGGTATCTCTCGGGTTCAAATTTAGGACGTTATGTCTACACCAGCTTGTGCGGTAACATGGGTTCAAACTGCATCTCTCCTGGATGTGGGGCAAAACGTAAAAGCCGATAAAGCGAAGTACACTCGTTATGAGATTTAGAACTATCAAGCATGTCGTAATGTTTACTTCTTATGTACGAGTACAGTCACTTCAACGACAGGTAGAACGTGACCTCCTGTTAGTGAAGCATGGTTTCTGAAAGTGCAGTGAATATAGCACTCGTTACATCAGCATCANGACCTCCTGTTAGTGAAGCATGGTTTCTGAAAGTGCAGTGAATATATATAATATAAAATCATGAATAATTATTAGATCTCTCGTCTCCAAATCAGGCGGGCAGTATCCAGTGTTACCAAAATTTGGTAAAGACGGTCTTTCAGTTTTTTTCTGAGTAAAGCAATTTTAAATTTAAATCGTATTGCACATATCAGAAAGTACTCCTGTGTTTTAGTTGTCATACAGTATGGACTATACCTGTTTCCTTTGTTGAAAGCGTAGTCGGCATAGCGACTGGCTACGGGCTGGACGACCAAGGGGTCGGAGTTGTAGTCCGGGAGGGTGAAGAAGTTTCACTTGTCCATGTCGTCCAAATCGGCTCTGGGGTCTACCCAACTCCTTATCCAGTGGGTACCGGGGGGGTCTATCCCCTGGGGTAAAGCAGCCGGGGCGTGAAGCTGACCACTCACTTCCACCTAGTGCCGAGGTCAAGAAAATTTTGTCTCTACATTCACTCCCCCTCATGATGTAGTGCTTAATTGTTTAAGCACAGGGACAACTTTACCTTTACCTTACTTTTTTTATTGTTAGTAGGGTGGGACTAAGTCCCTTGTACTGCGGTCCCTTCTAGCCTGTTGTACGAGCCCCAGATGGTAGGTGAGGGTGATTCTGGAGCAATTGGTGGAATGAAGACTGTCAAGGGAAACCGAAGTACTTGGAGAAAACCCGCCCCAACTCCACTTTTTTTGTTTCTTGGCACTACAGCCCCAGTGGGCCTAGGCCTACCTCCATAAACTTCTCCGTTCACTTCGGTTTTTCTAGATCTTACACACTCGGTAGGACTCCTTGGGCGGGTGATCAGCTCGTCGCAAGGCCTCTACTTGTACACAAACACAGAAAAACACAAACATCCATGCCCTGAGTGGGATTCGACCCCACGATCCCGGCTTCCGAGCGAGCGAAGACAATACATGCCTTAGACCGCTCGGCTACCGTGACCCGCCCAGCGCCACTTTGTCCACCACAAATCCCGGTTGACCAGACCCGGGATCGAACCCAGGCCGCCGCGGTGGGAAGCCAGCGACTAACCGCTTGAGGTATGGCGCGGCCCTTACCTTACCTTACATTCGCTCGTATCACCATCATTCCGCGTCTGACTTCCTGGGACAGTTAAAGCATTAACGAGCTTGCGAACCGGTTGAACACGTCATTAGCGAGCGAATTGCTTACTGGCGCTGTTTGTCCTGCTTTTGCCATGTAGTGCAGTATCAATGGTAGCGTGTGTAGTGGTACACTAGCAGGGGATTCACAGTCTTATAAAAATATATAATAACTCCTCCAGTAGTATAGCTCATCGAGCGAAGCCCACAGTGTGTTTCTGTCTCCTGCGTAAATATTTCTACCCCCATCCCCGTACCCCGGCCATTATAGTGGTCAGTAGTGCAGATCATAGACGGATATCCTGAAGGAGTCTCCTGACTAACAGACCGAACGTATCTTTTTTCGTGAACTGATGATTCATAAGTACCTCAGATGGAGCAGAGTCCAGAGTCCATAGTCGCTTAGCCGATCAAAACTTTTTTTTTGTACGAACTCGCCAGTTTATTACTGTTCACATGAGACCCCCACAGGACCCTGTTATGAACCAGTTGGATCAAGTCGATATGCTCTCGTATTATTTATTTATTTATTTATTTATTTATTTACTTGTTCCAGTGTACCTAAATACATTTGTATAAATAGGACTGAAGCAAGCGAAAATGCTGCCTCAGGCGACGAGAAATTTCGCCGTTGCCCTTGTTTAAAAACATACACACTTTTTCAAAACTTCTTCACAATTGATTACATTTTACAAAGACTGACGAAAACAGTCATTGGTGCTGTGACTTAAAATAGTTTCATGTACATTGTTGCGTAATATGTTTAAATGGCTGCCAATTAATAGTAACAATATGAACAAAATATCAACAGAATGTAATTTTAATTTTTTAAAAATCAAAGAAAGAGAATATGTCAAATGTGCTGTTTCCAAAGTCGTGGCGCCCCCAGGAAGCCGCTTGTCTCGCGTGCGCTGTTCTATCTATCATGTGTATAAAAAGACAATCTCTGTGGCCTGTAGTCCGCAAGCGAACTATACCGACCTAGCGACCGCCGCTTGTCAGCGAAGTTAGTGCCAACATTTGTGGATAGATGGTGTCGCGTGGTCAGCCCAACGAATCCCCACGGCCGTTAATCTCGGTTTTCTAGACCGGAAGCTTGTGTAAAGCGATCTAAATTTTATTTTCCATTCTCTGTTTCGGAATTCCATACTCATATATATATATATGAGTATATTCTTTGTGTCGACCCTTATTCCTAGAATTTCGTTTTTGTAACCGTATCCAGTACAGAGGCTTGCTGTCATGTGACTGATATATAGCATCTTTTGCTACCTACTGTGCCCTATATTGAGGCATTCGTTATAACGGCAGGGCAGTGGAGGGCTCTAAGGGATGACATGTGGTACATAGCCTGCAACCTGGAATTTCTTCCGAGACTCAAGCGCTACCTTAAGCGTGTGTTGAGACGATGTATTCTGGTGGTTTTCAAAGTGAAAGCGAATGCTAGAAGTCGCAAAAACAATGGCAGCCCCACCACAGCAATAGCAGTGATTCTTCCCCATCTCAGGTATGTATCTTTCTCATTACGTGCTTCACAGTGTGTATTCATTCCAAATTAGTTCTTATGCACCGCTAAATTGCGCCATGAATAAGGGTTTTACCTTCTTTGCTTCTAATCATGCTTGGAATAATTAAAATGTCCTACCGCTGTAATAAAGAATAATTAATGGCTGGAGTAGTTAGTGTAACATAAAGGCCGCGCCATAGCTCAAGCGGTTAGTCGCTGGCTTCCTACCGCGGCGGTCCGGGTTTGAGTCTGGGTCTGGTCAAGTGGGATTTGTGTTGGATAAAGTGGCGCTGGGGCAGGTTTTCTCCGAGTACTTCGGTTTCCCTTGCCAATCTTCATTCCACCAAATTCGCCATCATAATCAGCTGGGGTAGGTACAATAGGTCAATCAATGGCCGACGTGCCCAGTGGACCCAGCTGGACTCCATCCCCCACTATACGAAAAATGTTATTGTAACATACGAATGAAGAATCTTTTTGTTTGTTTGTTTGTATCTAGAAAATTAAAGATCAAACTGCGACATTGGAACTCATTAAGGGCCATCGTATTGGACTTGAAATATGGAATGGAAGCCTATGATCCAGTGACCTAGTACTGGTCATGTGATACCAGTCTCTCGTGTAGCTTCGTCAGATTGTGATGGCAGGTTCATAGTAATTAATTATCAGTACTCTAAGTAACCCGCGTTGCGTGCCAACTGTCAGTAAATCTGAGTAATTGATGGTATGTGTGGTGTAGTCCAGATGTTGTGTGTATGTATGGGAAAGTCTGTTTCTCCTCCATAGTGAAGGGAGAACTGAAAATGATGGTGCTACGTTTAATAACGCCGGTCACGGTAGCCGAGCGGTCTAAGGCAAGTACTATATTTGCTCGCACGGAAGCCGGGATCGTGGGCTCGAATCCCACAGAAGGCATGGATGTTTCATGTGTGTATGCGTTTATTTTGTGTTTGTGTTGTTCTGTGTTTAGGTAGAGGCCTTGCGACGAGCTGATCACCTGTCCAAGGAGTCCCACCGTCTGTAAAAATGATCAATGAAACTGAGAAATCAGCTCTGTGCTCCAAAGAGGGAGCGAGAAGAAGGGGGAAAAATTTAATAACGGGCACATATTTCCAGTCTCTTAGACGTAGTGTGTGGCTTTACAAAAGGTCTCGGAGCAATTCTGGATTCCCTTTTATTTTGACTGAAGATATTCATAGATTGATTCGTTGTCAGTGTGAATACACGTATGTCAATGGACTATGCAGTTTAGTTCAGCGATAATTAATCTGATTTGTATTATGGAGGTTACTGGTTTGAATTTCGGTCAGTGAGCAACTTACTCGCACAAATTTTCGAGATTTTCCTACATTCTTCGGTGAGGTATTGACATATGTCTCCCATACACCCTCAGTATCATTTGCAGTTCATTTATGATAATTAAAAAATTCGAAGTTACATAAGCCTGTTATGCGTGTGTAATATAACGTCATGGTCCCGCCATAGCTCAAGCGGTTAGTCGCTGGCCTCCCATCGCGGCAGCCCGGGTTCGATCCCGGGTCTGATCAAGTGGGATTTATGGTGGACAAAGTGGCTCTGGGGCAGGTTTTCTTCGAGTACTTCGGTTTCCCCTGCCAGTCTTCATTCCACCAATTGCTCCACAATCACCCTCACCTATCATCTGGGGCTGGTACAATAGGCCAGAAGTGGCCGCAGCACAAGAGATTTAGTCCCACCCCACTAGCAATAAAAAAATGACATTATTAAATAACCTACAATTATATTTATATAAATAATTTTCGACCTTGCGCGTAAGTATACCACTGCCTTATATCTGTTTCAGGCAATGGAAACAGCGTAAGATACCAGAATTGTTAACGGGATGATGTTGAGAATCGAACCGAATTCATTATTGGCCTGCATGAGTAATCCATCAATGTTAAAAACTTTTTAAAGAATTATATATATAATTATAGTTAGAGCCCAATTAGCATTAAGGAAGAGCGGAAGGTCTCAGTCTGTCCCTGTAAGCAACACAAAATATAGTCAAGGGAAATGTTTATTTGGTATTGTATTGTCTATTTAAATTGAAGGTTTAACAGCATTTCAAGAAGATCTGTAGAATAGCGTCTTTGATATTCATGTTGTAGTTGAATCGCTGACTATGCAGGCGAATGTCCCGTCGATCTCAAAATGACCCTACAGATGTGTCTCTTAAAGTTACTGACTGCTACGACTTTTAAATCTGCTTACCAACAAGCGAGAACTTAGGTCCAAACACAAAGCTTCATAGAACGTACCCATATCACAGGCATAATCCTTACCCAGGACATTCCAGACTACCCATCTAATTCATGGTGATCTTCAGTTATCGTTCTACCTTACTTACTTGCTCATGGAGCTGAGCCCTTTTTGAGGAGCTGCCAATTGTGCAGCTACTCAAGAAGCTCCCAGCATTTTATGGAACCCGAATGTTCATTACCGTGTTCACCGTGGTCCATATCCTGAGCCAGATCTATCCAATACATACCATCCCATCCTATCTCTCTAAGATCCATTTTAATATTGTCCACCCATCTACATCTTGGCCTTCCCAGTGGTCTCTTTCCTTTTGGCTTTCCCACCAATATCCTATATACATTCCTCTTCTCCCAAGTTCGTGCTACATGCCATGCCCACCTCATCCTCTTTGACTTCATCATTCTAATTATACTTGGAGAAGACTGCAAGTTATGAAGCTCCCCATTATGCAGTTTTCTCCAGCCTCCTGTCACTTCGTCTCTCTTCGGTCCCAATGTTCTCAGCACCCTCGGTCTATGTTCCTCTATGTTCTACCACCACAGTTAAACTGAAACGCCGAGGGAATGCAGGAGATAGGGTAAGCGGCAGTCTTACGTATTGTGACATGTAGATGCTTGTCTAGACAACGCAACAATAGAAAACGGGTTGCAAGAAGTGTTTTCTATGTGGTCCGTGCCGAGACTTTGCTAGGCAACTGCGTGGTAACACGCATCTAGAACAAAGGGGGGCTATGTTTTCTATGCTGCGTGGTCCGTGCCACGGCTTTGAGGGAGCAATCAGTTGTCGGTAGGAGATAGCCACGGGAAGTTAAGTCATTTAAGAAGAATTAGAAGTGAGTCATAGAATGGGAATAAGAATTGAAGGAATACGAAGGAGTACAGCGGAGTTAGCCTGCGAAAATAATAATTTATGTGTGCTGTAGTTACAGTGAGACTAATATAGATATGTTGCCAGGATACGACTAGTGAAGACTGGGAGTCGTAGTGATTTCTCAGGTGGGTAGATTAGCGATAGAGCTCTAATTGTTTGTGATTAAAAGAGATTGTAAAAGAAGTTGTTAATAAATCTGATCACCCAATCCAGAACCCGTTATTGTTAGTCACGGTACCCTGCACACGTGACAGTGTAAAACTCAGGTACTTATTATGCCTTGTGGAATTGAAGATCTGACACGTACGGAAATAAGGAAACTGCTACTCTAACGGAATCAGAATAAATTATGTAAAAAGGATCTCCATTTCTGATCGAGTAATCATTTTCATGGGTAATTCCAGTATTTTTACACTGATGTTCGGTAGGTTTCGAGTAGACGTAACTGCTCTGGCCATTTGCGACTTTCAACATGGCTAGAATAGCGAGAGTCAGGTCTCAGGAATCTAAAACTAGACGTAAACGAATAGAAATGTTAGTAATGAAATTTTAAGTACACCATACGATACTGTGTATGACGTCAGGACTTGGTCTGTAGTGCTCAACTTACAGTTCACCATGGGAAGATATGAAGGAGTTTCAGAAATTCGATGTACCTCTTACACCTGAGCCTGGACAGCTCAGTCGGTAGATCGACGGGCTGTGGGTTGGACTACCAGTATTCCATTCCCCGCAGGGGCAAGAGATTTTTCTTTACTCTGCAGCGTTCTGAGGTCCACCCTGCCACCTATCCAATGGTTACCGGGGGTAAAACGGGTGGGGCGTCAAGGTGACCAATCGCCTCCATCTAATACCGAGGTTAAGAATGGTAGAGCTATACCTCCACTCCCCATGTATCTTTATAGTGCAGTGATTTATTAATTGAGCACATGGACAACTTTATCTCTTACCTTTGCCATTTACATTTAGTTCTGAGGACGCAGGATCTTCATGCTATCGAGGTGAGTTAGTGTGTGTGTGGAACTTGTTACAACTTCTTGCACCGCTATCTTGGCGAAGTGTCTTCTGCTCGGAGCTCAACTGTCGTTGGTCCCTGTCGGATAGGAACGCTTCTGTTCTAAGGTCAAATACAAACTGAACTCTGCTCCAATCGAATACAAACTGAAAACTTATCGGAGCTGCACTGACTCTTGTAGCGTGCGCTCGGACTGACTAGGGAACATCGCGTTCAAGAGTTCTGTTTTATCCGCTGGTAGTATTTTCATTTCCGGGGAAATGCACTTGTTGTTTAGGCGACTCCTATGCAACGGTATGCTGGTATTGCGTTTCTACTGAAGTATACAGTCGTATCGCAGCCGTTGCCTATCAGTGGACGTCTTACCTTCCGGCGGCACGCCACATTTTATACAACATATCGCTTCGGGGTATTTCTAATTTGCGATACCGCAGTTGTTACAGTGTGAACGGCTGTCACTGCAATACGCTCAGTTTATAAAAAAGTTTATAGTTTCTAGTTGCCTGTTCGTGTTGCTGGTCGCTTTTGTGTGAGCCCTCCCTTACGAAGAAAAATATGTTTTGGACGTAAAGTATATTTTGTTTTTCTCCATAACTTTTCCAAACTTTTTTGCTGTGCTCAGTATTCAGCGAGTTACTCCCAAGTCGAATCTGTTTCTTTCCTTAATGGCTTATAAAGAGAATGATGCACGTTAATCAAAATATTACCGTTGTATACGTAAGAACGCGTTGAAGTAGCTCTACAAACCCAGAAAAAAATTGAAACTTTCAAGAAGAGATCGATAGATTATGAAGTCGGAATGGACTGCACTACATGAGGTAAAGCAGCACAGAGCTGGCAGACCTGTTTCCGATTTCATTATTTAGTGCATGACGTAGGAAAAAACAGGCTTGTGACGTAGAAATAACAGCTCCTTTATTTATTTTAAAAGGTAAAGCTATCCCTGTAACAGGCCGTGAAGGCCCATAGGGTTGTGAGACGTCGAGGCTCCCACATTTTTTCTAGACAGTCGGCTTACAGATGGCGGTAAGGTTGTCAGCCTTACGCGCCGACAGCCCTTTAAACCCCAAGAAGAATCCTGGTAGTTATTTCTGTTAGACGCCGAGTTGACCCCAGGGCCATAATGCGGCTGGCAGGATTAGGTAAATTAAAAAATCCATCTCATCGTGACTCGAATCCGCGACCTTCCAGCTTGTAGCATAGTGCTAAGCTACCGCGTGCCCCCTTTATTTAGTGTACGCTATTATAAGTTGCATATGGTAAAACACCTTACTGAACCCCCCCCCTTTCCAAGCATGTTACATTAATGTGCATGCAGATAGAAAGAGAAGTGGAATAAGAAGAATAAGAGGAAGGCGTTGATTGTGACGATGATGACAATGACGATGAGTAGAAAATTAATTGTCTGTTTTCTGACGAAGCAACATTACATGTCAGGGATTGTAAACAGGCATAACTGTTGTGTTTGGGGTGTTAATCCATTAAGCGGATACCTAAAATACGAAATATTCCGAAAGTGAGCTGTGATGTACCCGCAGGTACAGAAGTGATCGGTCCATTTTTCTGCTCAGAAAGGACAATAAATATTACATATATTTTGACACGATGGGAAATTCCGCTTTTCCACAACTTGATAGATGTTGGCATTATCTTCAGCATGGTTCACACTCACATCGAGAGCGTTATTGCGGTGGTCGTTGAGTGTCAAGTTCTGTATAAGGGCGTAGGGAAGGACCGAGCTCTTGGCCTCCCCGATTATCTGACCTCAGTCCATTAGATTCATTTTTGTGTTATGTAGAGGGCGAAGTGACGTCACTGCATCAGGCAAAAGTAAGATTTCATACACTGCGGCTGCAGTAATCCAAGTTACTTCTGAACGCACGTTCCAGCATCTGAATTAGTGTTCAGATTCCGTTTGCTAATTACAGACGCAGTTCATATCCTTATCCCATTCTGTGGAATTAGTTTATTTATTCAGCTAAGGCACAAGCCTGGATGAAAGGCATTCCGTTCTCAGGGTCTGTAGCTACACAGGAAGACTCGGATTTAGTCCTTTGCCCTCCACAACGGGATTCGAACTCACAGATACATTGTCTGGATGTTCCATCACCTCGCAGTTCCAGAAATCATTGGTTATCTTCTCACAGCCACGGGATGTGTGACGTCACCGAAAATGCTGCTGTTAAGCTTGGGTTTCCTCAGGTAGCGGTACCGTAATCAAGCGGCCGTAATATGACGGTGAATGACGTCACTAAAACGTTGCCATGCTCCTTTGTTTCCATGGTAACGTTTTAGTGACGTCATTCACCGTCATATTACGGCCGCTTTATTACGGTACCGCTACCCGAGGAAACCCAAGCTTTAGTGCATGTTGAAGTGCGTAATTTAGAAATGTTTGATGCCTGCTGGTGAACGTAACTTATCAACATGCTTATTTTCCATATAGCCGTGATGTGCACCTCGTATAGACATGTTATGTCAAATTCCTCTTCTTTTAGAGCGTCTCGATCGACGTTGGATGTGGGCAGTGGTACAGTTTACTTCCTCTCACTTTGACGTGTAATTGTGGTTTACTGACTCTCTGCACGTAGGGCTTTGCAGGGAGCATGTGGATGGAACTTGGCCAGTTTCCCCCCATCTTGCTGATGCGCTGTGAACTCACTCAGCGGAGCGATGGCCTCACAGCACGCTACCGGAGCCTGTTCTCAAGTGGCAGACGGGCTCGTAAATCTTTAAAGAAGCCGAATTTATCTCCCATGTCTATAGAAAGAGTTCGCAGACAAGATACACACCAACATTAAGGACAAGACAAGAAAATATACAGTATGTTGCGGATTATGCATCCTTTTCCCACCACTTTTCCTTTCTTTCATAGACAAGAAAATGTACTTTTTGTTTGCATGCAGTAAGGTCCTTCTTTAGAACCTGATAGTCAGTGAATAACCACCCTTAATGGAACATAAAATGTTATTACCATAATTGAAAGACCCCGCCGCTGGATCCCCTCTTGACCGAACAGATTTCAGTGCACACCCTCACACCCTGTTCCATAAAGATGTAACCAACCCACCTGTTTCATATAGCGGAATCCTTGAGAAATTAATAATAGGCGCGCTGTCAAATTATCCATATATTTTTATGGAACCCTAAATGAAATTACTGTGTTTACAATACGCCCCAGCGGTCTCTGTACCGAACCAGGTGAATCCAATCGACTTCAACACATCGTATGTTCAAGGGTATCTTATATGATATCGCCCATTTTACTGTTTTCATCCGATATATACCTAGATCAGTAGCCAGGATAGCGTAGTCGGTATAGCGACTGGCTATGGGCTAGACGACCGAGGGGTCGGAGTTCGAGTCCCGGTAGAGTCAAAAATATTCACTTCTCCCCATACTTCTTCATGGCGTAGTGCTTAGTTAAACAGAGGGACAGCTTTACCTTACATTTATATACCTAGATCACCTGATCCATTCACGTTTTCGAACTAACTTATAGGCCTCTATGTTTTTAAATCAACTTCATCAACGTCGAAGTGTTCTGTTTTCGGGGGATTAACTCTGTGTAATGCGGAGTACGCGACCTTGTATCCCAGAAGATAGAACTCTTCATAGCCGTGGGTGTGAGAACTGAAATTCATGAACACCCGTGACGAACCGTTTTATTTCCCCGATATCAGTAATAGTGATGTTACTTACAGCAGGGTACGTTTATTTCACTCTCTCCTATCTTTCATGAAAAGCAATGTTGGCTGTAGCACTTGTTGTTCAAGTGCGACCAGCCCCTCAGACAAAGTGGAGAGTTTCATAGACCGTGCGTCCGGCATGTCCAATGTAAGTTCCGACGGCCGTTTCCATAGTCGGTTTCCACAGACCTAACAAAGCTTGTTTGTTTGTAGGTTTTCAGTATTTGGGAAACTAAACCCCTGCGGCTTGTTTTGGAGTTTCCATTATGTTAACTGTCCATAAGAATACATGAGTATCAAACAGATGTCAGAAAGTACGTTCGAAGATTAAAATTTAACATCGGTATGAGTAACATATTACATGCAAGAAAACTTCCCAAAGTTGAGAAAATTGTATTTCCAAGTGCGTGGTAGTATCTAGCCGAGATTCAATTTCAGCCTAAATATGGCTCAGCATCTCGAGTTATGTGTCAGGAGCTGTAATTATCCTTTGTTTTAGTGTGTCCACCTGGCCATTGTATCCTTAAATACAAAAAAGAATTAAGGATATTCAAGTCCGGTGATGTAGGAGTTCAAGGATTTGAACTCACCACGCAGCAGTGCTGAATGACTTGTTCAGTGTGGTCTCCGTTGTCACAAAGTCTCCTTAATCTGTTAACAACATTATGGTTTGTGTTGCAGACCGGCAGCCATGATGATGGAGTTGAGCCACAGCCTGACATTGAACGAGGAGGCCCTCAAGCAGATCCCTGAGGCCAAGCGCCCTGTGTTCGTATTCGAGTGGCTGCGTTTCCTGGATAAAGTGCTTGTCGCCGCACAGAAGGTACTTATATTAATCACATGATAGGTTTGTACTTAATGGTTTTACCCGATTCATCAGCTGCACAGTTTATTTAACAGCGACTAAAATATAAAGACCAGCGCGATGAGAGAGGCATGTGTCAGTTCTTGTCGCTGTACAGAAGGTGCTGCCACGGTGGCAACGACCAAACATGTGGGTTTAACGCTGTTAATACCAAAGCCCACCATCAGGTACGATCCTGAACTAGTTCCATCCACATCCCTCCATCACGACTTGTTTCTAAGATTCGCCTTAATGTTATTCATCCATCTGCTTGGTCTTGCAAGAGGATGTTTTACAACATGTTAGTATTCTATTTGTGTGCTCAGTCACATGCCAAAACAGCGTCTCCTCCTAGAGTTCGCTCCAAACAGTACACTTTCACCTGTCTAAATTACGAAAAGTCCTCTTTTTGTAATATCTTAAATTGGCCACTTGCTTCAGTTTTCTTAGGTCTAGATATCTTCATGAGCGCCTTGTTTTTAAACGCTTACTTTACACAGATATATTTCTGGATGTTCTCCATCGTCCGGTTTTTATTTAAAACACAACGTTTCAGGGGCTGGATTCTGTCTCCGTCTTCAGGTAAAACCTACTCACTTTGGTCCAGTTGATAGAGCTAGTCTGTATATCCGGACACCTGCACCAACACAAGATAGAGCATATAAACTAAGCATAGCACACACTATCAGCAAGGGATAAGACAGAACATTAAAACATTAATCCACAGTATGAGGCCCAGCACTAGGAGTACTATCAGAATAGAAGCCATCACTCTGCACGGTACCAACATAAACAACAGAAATTTTTCCACTTAATCTTCACTGGACTGGGTTGCAGTTTGTTTGCCTTCTGCTATGATAACAAGAGTCCAGATGGGAGAGATGTTGACTGATCGGATGATATATCAGAGACATGTGGGCATATATCATGTATTTCCTCTATGTGGTGTTTGGTTCAATCTGCAGAACCTTCACTTCTTTCCAACATATTTTGTGGTCTTCGTACGCATATTGGGCTGATTTTGATTTCTGATAGCACTCTAGTGCTAGGCCTCATACTTGTGGAGTTTTTTTTTTAATGTTTTAGAGTTTTGTCTTAACTCTCGCAGATGTTTTGTGCTATGCTTGGTTTGTATACCCAATCTTGTGTTGGTGCAGGTGTCTGAAGACAAGGACTGCCTCTATCGATTGGGCCCAACTGAGTAGGTTTTACCTGAAGATGGAGACAGAATCCAGTCTCCAAAACGTTATGTTCTAAAAACAGGGCGATGGATAATGTCCAGAAACATAATATTTGTATGAATGTACCATCGTCACAGACGTTTAGATCCTCCTTACTTTGCATATACGTACGTTTTACTCAAAACATGACACCACACCGCACACACATATATAGCAACCGTCGATTGTTTTGTGTATCCAGACCTTCGACATTCTGGAAAGTGGACGGGACGAGAACTGAATAGTAACAAGCTTTGAGAATGTATTCATTTCCTAAACGGGGTATTATCACACATTGTAAGAATTGAAGTACTGGCACAATTCAAAAGGAGATGGGCAGAAGCGTCCAGTATCGAAGTTCTACTTTGAAATTCTCCTGGAAGAGCTGAATGAATCACGACGTACACGCCAGACCCGTTCTTATTGCCTTCCTGCCCTCAGAATGTTAACCTGTAGCTGTTGTATAGGTCCCTTCATCGCAAGAGAATACTAAGTGAATTCTGTGCGCTTAATGAAAGCTTTCTCAAACATTCATCCTTAAGACGACGAAGAATTTTTTCGCGCTTTACATTATTTGAATCTTGGGGGGTGGATATAATTTTTCACCTGTCATTTATACCATTTCGTCAGTGTACTGTAATTAACAAGAGGAACCGGGATAGCGCAGTCGGTATAGCGACTAGCTACTGGCTGGACGACCGAGAGGTCGCAGTTCGAGTCCCGGTGGGATGAAGGATTTGTTTTTCTCCACGTCGTCCAGACCGGCTCTGGGGTCCATCCAACCTCCTATGCACTGGGTACCGGGGGTAAAGCGGCCGGGGCGTGAAGCTGAACACTCACCTCCAGCTAGTGCCGTCNTTGGAGTTTCCATTATGTTAACTGTCCATAAGAATACATGAGTATCAAACAGATGTCAGAAAGTACGTTCGAAGATTAAAATTTAACATCGGTATGAGTAACATATTACATGCAAGAAAACTTCCCAAAGTTGAGAAAATTGTATTTCCAAGTGCGTGGTAGTATCTAGCCGAGATTCAATTTCAGCCTAAATATGGCTCAGCATCTCGAGTTATGTGTCAGGAGCTGTAATTATCCTTTGTTTTAGTGTGTCCACCTGGCCATTGTATCCTTAAATACAAAAAAGAATTAAGGATATTCAAGTCCGGTGATGTAGGAGTTCAAGGATTTGAACTCACCACGCAGCAGTGCTGAATGACTTGTTCAGTGTGGTCTCCGTTGTCACAAAGTCTCCTTAATCTGTTAACAACATTATGGTTTGTGTTGCAGACCGGCAGCCATGATGATGGAGTTGAGCCACAGCCTGACATTGAACGAGGAGGCCCTCAAGCAGATCCCTGAGGCCAAGCGCCCTGTGTTCGTATTCGAGTGGCTGCGTTTCCTGGATAAAGTGCTTGTCGCCGCACAGAAGGTACTTATATTAATCACATGATAGGTTTGTACTTAATGGTTTTACCCGATTCATCAGCTGCACAGTTTATTTAACAGCGACTAAAATATAAAGACCAGCGCGATGAGAGAGGCATGTGTCAGTTCTTGTCGCTGTACAGAAGGTGCTGCCACGGTGGCAACGACCAAACATGTGGGTTTAACGCTGTTAATACCAAAGCCCACCATCAGGTACGATCCTGAACTAGTTCCATCCACATCCCTCCATCACGACTTGTTTCTAAGATTCGCCTTAATGTTATTCATCCATCTGCTTGGTCTTGCAAGAGGATGTTTTACAACATGTTAGTATTCTATTTGTGTGCCCAGTCACATGCCAAAACAGCGTCTCCTCCTAGAGTTCGCTCCAAACAGTACACTTTCACCTGTCTAAATTACGAAAAGTCCTCTTTTTGTAATATCTTAAATTGGCCACTTGCTTCAGTTTTCTTAGGTCTAGATATCTTCATGAGCGCCTTGTTTTTAAACGCTTACTTTACACAGATATATTTCTGGATGTTCTCCATCGTCCGGTTTTTATTTAAAACACAACGTTTCAGGGGCTGGATTCTGTCTCCGTCTTCAGGTAAAACCTACTCACTTTGGTCCAGTTGATAGAGCTAGTCTGTATATCCGGACACCTGCACCAACACAAGATAGAGCATATAAACTAAGCATAGCACACACTATCAGCAAGGGATAAGACAGAACATTAAAACATTAATCCACAGTATGAGGCCCAGCACTAGGAGTACTATCAGAATAGAAGCCATCACTCTGCACGGTACCAACATAAACAACAGAAATTTTTCCACTTAATCTTCACTGGACTGGGTTGCAGTTTGTTTGCCTTCTGCTATGATAACAAGAGTCCAGATGGGAGAGATGTTGACTGATCGGATGATATATCAGAGACATGTGGGCATATATCATGTATTTCCTCTATGTGGTGTTTGGTTCAATCTGCAGAACCTTCACTTCTTTCCAACATATTTTGTGGTCTTCGTACGCATATTGGGCTGATTTTGATTTCTGATAGCACTCTAGTGCTAGGCCTCATACTTGTGGAGTTTTTTTTTTAATGTTTTAGAGTTTTGTCTTAACTCTCGCAGATGTTTTGTGCTATGCTTGGTTTGTATACCCAATCTTGTGTTGGTGCAGGTGTCTGAAGACAAGGACTGCCTCTATCGATTGGGCCCAACTGAGTAGGTTTTACCTGAAGATGGAGACAGAATCCAGTCTCCAAAACGTTATGTTCTAAAAACAGGGCGATGGATAATGTCCAGAAACATAATATTTGTATGAATGTACCATCGTCACAGACGTTTAGATCCTCCTTACTTTGCATATACGTACGTTTTACTCAAAACATGACACCACACCGCACACACATATATAGCAACCGTCGATTGTTTTGTGTATCCAGACCTTCGACATTCTGGAAAGTGGACGGGACGAGAACTGAATAGTAACAAGCTTTGAGAATGTATTCATTTCCTAAACGGGGTATTATCACACATTGTAAGAATTGAAGTACTGGCACAATTCAAAAGGAGATGGGCAGAAGCGTCCAGTATCGAAGTTCTACTTTGAAATTCTCCTGGAAGAGCTGAATGAATCACGACGTACACGCCAGACCCGTTCTTATTGCCTTCCTGCCCTCAGAATGTTAACCTGTAGCTGTTGTATAGGTCCCTTCATCGCAAGAGAATACTAAGTGAATTCTGTGCGCTTAATGAAAGCTTTCTCAAACATTCATCCTTAAGACGACGAAGAATTTTTTCGCGCTTTACATTATTTGAATCTTGGGGGGTGGATATAATTTTTCACCTGTCATTTATACCATTTCGTCAGTGTACTGTAATTAACAAGAGGAACCGGGATAGCGCAGTCGGTATAGCGACTAGCTACTGGCTGGACGACCGAGAGGTCGCAGTTCGAGTCCCGGTGGGATGAAGGATTTGTTTTTCTCCACGTCGTCCAGACCGGCTCTGGGGTCCATCCAACCTCCTATGCACTGGGTACCGGGGGTAAAGCGGCCGGGGCGTGAAGCTGAACACTCACCTCCAGCTAGTGCCGTCGTCAAGAAAATGTGGATCTATACATCCACTCTCCTATACACCTTCATGGTTTAGTGCTTAATTAATTAATCACTGGGACAACTTTACCTTTTACTGTAATTAACAAAGTTCGAAGTAAAGTACCTAAACCGAAACGGGAAAAAAGTGATGGGAGGATTGAAAAAAATCGCGTAATAAGGATCTTGATAAAAATTATTAGGGTGATAAAAGCAGTGAATATGAGATAGGTGGGATATGTAGTACGCATGGGGCAGTTAGGAAATGCAAACAAAGTTTCGGTCGGAAAACATAAGTGGAATAGACCACGCGGAGACCTAGGCGTGTGTGGGAGTATGAAATGAAAACGGATCGGAAAAAGAAATGGCGTGTTAGGATGTGGACTGTACTCATCCGGGTGATGATAGGAACTGGTGGCGATCTCCTGTGAGCAAGGCAATAAACCGTTTGGTTCTGTAAGAGTCAAATAGTACTTTGGCTACCTGAGCTACTATTGTTATCTTTTCGTAGTATGCCCCTATGTATTCGTTTGATCAGTGCAATCTGATGTCATATTCAGGCGCAGTTTAAGCGTTTTCATTCGACTCTAGAATTACACATGCGAAACAATGTTTGAGCTTCCTCTCTTGGCTGCAAGTGCCCCCAGAGGACAGGAGATGGAAGTGGCTCATGATTGTGCCCCCTGGGGGACGTTTATATTAAAGGTGTTAGAATCTGTGTTAATAGAGCAGTGTGTTCATTTTGTCGTACTGTTTTGAACTAGGAAATAAGCAGAGAATTATATGACTACCGCATTATACGGGCATAATCACGGTACAAATAAGAATCGACAGAACATTCTGTAATTACATCTAAAATAGTTTGTTTAGACTACATACACTAAAAGAAGCCAAGAAGTTGAAATGGCACAGATGACCGAATGAATCTTTCTTTCTCCATGGAGCAGAATCCTTCTTTAGAAACTAATATTCGCTCACCTGGTCAAGAAATTTCTCATGTTTTATGGAACCCGGTGTTTTATACCAGGGATTGAAACGACGAATGGTCGATTTTTCATACTTAGTTACTCTTGAAATCTTCACAATTTAAATTCACTGCCCTTCCTATATATATTATGATTTGAATTTCGAAGAAGAATAAGAAGAAAAACTATTTTTCTTCCGACCAACTTTATCTCTGTAAAAAAGTACAATGTAAGGGCGGAGAGGGATAAATTACTCCTCGCTGTTTTCTTTGTTGCCATGACAACGTCCATGAGAGAGTCGGCACTCGGGACCTTTCCCGTTTTTTCAAATAAATAGCTGCTGTGACGTCACTTGATGCGATAAATATTGTCGGATGAACGTATAATACTGCGAGAGGTGAGAAGCATTTTTTTTTCTCCATATAATGGATAGTGAAACTTCACATATGTCCCAGCCTAAACAACGATTCAAGAACGTGAAGGGCAAATAAAGGGGCTAGAATGAAGTCCCTGGTGGTGGATCGTCTTTCTGTGTTGTAGCGTTCACTAAGTAATGAATACTTACTGCTTGGGAGTCTTAACAGTAGGGTCACAGAGCACGTCATACAGTGCCGTGTGGATGTGATACACAGGGCACTCAATCACGAATTCCAAATTGTCTTAAAAATTCCTTTAACGATTTTGATTTTCGTCCAGACACAAATATAGAATAGCAAAGAATATACGGCATATTAAATTTCTCCAGAATCTAATTACATGGTTTTCTTCAAGTATTGTTTCTCTTTGACACGAGCAACGGAGATATATGGGGGAGTGGATGTATCGACCCAAGTTTTCTTGACCTCGGCACTGGTTGAAGGTGAGTGTCCAGCTTCACGCCTAGGCCGCTTTACCCTCGAGGAGAGAGCCCCGATACCAAATGGATATGGGGTTGGATGAATCCCAGAGTCGGGCTGGACGACGTGGAGGAGAGAAAATTCTTGACCCTACCGGGACTCGAACTCCGACCCCTAGGTCATCCAACTCGTAGCCAGTCGCTATACCGACTGCACTAACCCGGCTCCCAGGCTTTGTTATTAGCTGCGTTACATCACAAATTAGTTATATATGATTTTTTGTATAATAGCAGGTTAACGACAAATGTAGTTTTTAGTTCTAGTTTCATGCGCTGTGGTGAGACTGAGTCCACTTGGTACGTCGGCCACTAATTGGCCTATTTTACCAGCCCCGGATGATAGGTGAATATGGAGCATTTCATGGAATGAGGATGGCAGGGGAAACGAAAGTACTCGCAGAAAACCAGTCCTATTACCATTTTGTCCACCACAAATCCCACATTACATGATCTGAGCTCGAATTAAGGCCGCCGCGGTGGGAAGCCGGCGACTAACCGCCTGAGCTATGGCACGGACGTACGATAGATGTAACGTTCGATTTCATTTCCTCGAGTTATTTGTGTTCGAGTCCGCTCCTTTCCAAAATTTGAAACTTTTTTACTTTAACAGTTACAGAGTTTCAGTCCTACGCGGTTCACTCTCCGATCGAGCAGGGTTGCCCACCGATAGCGCGTCTGACTTGTATCCAGGAAAATCCAGTTACAATTTCAGTCCTGCTTTTCCCCAGGCAAACGACGGAATATTGTCCTCACGTGCGCCGTGACAGTTATTTCGCCTGCACTTTCCACGTGTCACCAGTAATCATTCTCATACCTCACTCGACGCTCGGAAACCGTTGTGAGGTGAAACACGCTCCGAATGGGCACTCACTCATATCGACGAGCCCTTTTGTCAGATTACGGCTTTGCCTGTTTGAGGTTTTATTTGTGCTTCTGTTATTTGTTTATAATTTGACCTAACCTTCCGGCCGCACTATGGCCCTGGGGTCGACTCAGCCTCTAACAGAAATGAGTACCACGAATTAATTAAATAATTTTCCTGAGGA